CCCATGCAGTACCTCTGTGGACCCTCTAGGGGACGGTGACCCCGTGTCGAAGACCTCTGCTTTAAACAAAAAATATACTCACTCAGATTTCCATTTTTGTGGTGAATGTTCTCCTGGACAAGTGCCAGAACCTACTTCATAGGGGCCCTGTTGGCCCCTCCCTACATACACCCATGGTTCTGGGGTAGGATTTGCTTCCTGAAGAGGTAGATGTTCTTAAAAACAGACCGGAACATTTACTAATAGTGTTTGGTTAGTATTTCCAGCATCATGGAACAATTCATAAAAATAACCTGGATTGTCACAGGTGTAATGTAGGCACTATTAATGATCAAGCCTTTGTGAGAGCATTTTAGAATGGACCCAATCAATCACAACATCTGTAGCTGGTATTAGAAGCGGCTAGCTAAGGGTAGGAGAGCTTAATGAACAGGAGGGTTTAGGTGCTTTTATTGACTGATTGAAAACTACAAGTGCTGCTATTCTGCACCTTTATGCAGATATTGTGGTGAAAGATCAGGTTGACGGTGTATTACCAAGCCAAGATACAATGGCCAAGCAGTGAGATACAGAATAAAGTAAGAGTGTGCAAGTGCTGCAAGAGTCACCATGTTGAATTGATACTAAAGGGCCCAAATTTCCCACCATAACCCACTGAACCCAAACTAGAAATCCCATGCTTTTATTGATCCCCTAATTTAGACTCTATCATCTGATTGTTGCAGCTAAAATCAAGACTCATTGACGTGGACAACATTTTTCTACTATATTTATATTACATTTTGGGGAGCTTGTGTATGTTTTAGTCATGATATAATTAATTAAGTCCATTATGACATTGAGGGAGCAGTGTTCTGAAAGGGGCTGGCTCTCTAAGCTGGACCTTAGCTCCAGATGGCTTTCTGGGTGCTCTAAAAGCTGCTCACTGCTCCCAAGGGGAGATGTGTTAAAGGCCATGAAGATTAAAATTATTATTATTGTTGATATGTTGGTTGCAGTTAAACTATATTTTGTCTACTGTCCACAGTTTTCCATCCATCTTTAGCATTGCTGTCATCCTCCATTAGTGTGGGAAAAACAGTCCGTCAAATGTTCAGTAGGTGGGGTGGGGGGGCTACAGCGGCTTGAAGACCCATCCAGAGGGCCGAATGAATAATTGAGATCCAGACCATAAATGGATGATGAATTTTTGAAGCCTACTAAATATTTCATCTTAGCAGTTCTTTACCATTGTGACAAATTGATAGTGCAGAGAAGATTGTGATATGATTTATAGTTCAGTTTCAGTCTTCACCTTCCATTAGTATTAACAAGTGGGTTTATGTGAGCTACTATTTTCTTTCTATCATCTAGAATATAATCAGTTCACTCTTCTTAAGACCGATGACATAGTCAAGAGATTTTAATCCACTCAAATGCTGCTCAATGAATGTTACTTTCTTTTTAGAGGATATTCTGTGAATCAGGTAGTTGATTGTGAAAATGTCATCATCTTGCACCAAATACGCTATGCGATCAGACAATTTTTCTGATTGTATTAACAAGCAATTGAACAATTGGTTTGTTGTTTTAGTACATTGAAATGCTTTGTTTTGTGTTTCAGAGATTGCCCTGTGCCCCAATAACCATGAGGTTCATATCTATAAGAAAGATGGGACCAAGTGGACCAAAATCCATGAGCTGAAAGAGCACAATGGCCAGGTAACAGGTAAGAGGATTTACTTCCCTTCTGTTATAAATTAATAATTTCCTCTCATCCTCCTCATGGGTTAATTTTGAATGTTTTATTAGGTTTGTGAACTTTTCTTTCTAGGGTGGACAGATACCATTCAACAAGATTGTTTTTTGTTGTTTTTTTTAAGAATGTTTTATTCATTGGTGATTCCCCTACATTGAAACACCTCCAATAAAGGATTACACCTCGCTACAATTAGTATGAACGCCCTTTAGAGGGACTTAGACACTTTTTCAGTGTCTAAATTTCTTCTATATGACTGAACAAAGGAATCATGTTCATTAAAACTGGTTAAGTTTCCAAGAAGAACTTTGCTTTCCAAGGTCAGTATAATTCGAGTAGCTTGGTGGTAACAATTAATTCCAAAAGCCCCACAGTCTGATGCCTCCACCGCCGTACTTGGCAGTTAGTATTCTTAGATCTGAAAGCATCACCTGAATCCATTAAATATTTGTTCAGTCTTTGTCTTACCATGAAACATTTCAGATGGTATGATGCTGATCAGTGTGGGTAGGTGCTAAATTTGTTAACCTTAAAGACCGGGGTCTACTTTCCTGGTTGGGGTCCTCTTAACCTAAGGCCCTGTGTACACTGCAGCATTTCTTGATTAAAAGAAAAATTAGATGGCTCACTGTTTTTATGCTCCACATTAGCATGTGGTTCCATTCCTAATGGTTTGATTTGATAGATGGTTCCAGAGTTAAAGGATTTAATGACATCACAGCCCCTGTTAAAATTTACACAGGACAAATAGACTTTGTTTAAATAGCTGTGCATTGGCACAGGCGCAGTAGGACTAATCAGTAAAGATTGTACGTACGAGCACAACAGAATCGGTGGTGACTAGTTTAAACACCACATTGGTGAGGAACGTGGTGCTGCCTTGTTAAATGGAGTGTCTTTGGGCATGAACACACTTCACACTAGTGGTGAGGCAGGAGATTAATTTTTTTTTTGTTCTTAATGAGCGTGTTGTCTGTGTAGGTTGCTATTACAACTTTATTATGCTGATAAGTTAACCGGAGAGATGCATCAACCAGGATTCTGGTAGCTGATCACAAAAATCAGTGTCTGCTCTTTACCGATCAAAGCATCAAAACATTCTACAACTGCTGTCATTATATATATTGAAATGATATAATTAGGTATCAAAGTTATAGGAAAGTATCATGAATGTTTTAGTCCAGGAGGCAGCGGAGACAAGCTTTTTTATATCAAAATGGAAGATTGTGAAAATAATATTGGCAAAGGACGATGTGGGGAATGTTCTTAAGGTGGATTTTAAAACCTGTTTTAATTTGGCCCTAGAAGGTCTGTATATCGGCCTACCTCCAGCACAGACACCTAGCAGCAGTCACCTTCTCTTCCTGCTCCGCCACTCTGTTAAAATTTCCTTTGAAATTCATACCTGCTGCATGCTTGTCTGCTCTACTCTTGAGCTGCCTTATCTCCCCCTTGGCCCACTGTCTGCCCAGCGTGCTCCTCCTATCTATGACCTGTTTCCTTAGCTCCAGAGGGCGGCACAGCTGGCTGCCAGTTATGGTCCTCTCTCTCCCGCTGTTCTCAAACTGATTCCCTGCTGCTTCTGTCTGAGCTCAGAACACAGTTTCCCCTCACCTCTGTTGTCCAGGTGATCCATCCCCCTGTTTTTGGGCACTCTAACTAAAACAAACATGGACCAAGCATAGGAAGAAGATGCACTTCCTCTCATTGAAAAACTCATCGATATCAGAATGACCGTCACTTAAAATCGATGTTCTTACATCACATGAAAAGCCACCGTTTTCCAAGAATGGCTGACTGACCAGTGCAGGTCTAGTTAAATGAAACAGAAATGCAATCAAGTGTTTGATGGATTATCGTGCAGCCAAGATTAAACTGGTTTCACCATGGCAAGTGACACTGGTGTTTAAATCACGTTGGTTCAGGAGCTGTCTTTGAACATCATTACTAGCTGTATTTCCTTTGAGACTTTGAATGGTTGATACAACAAGAACATGATCACAAACACACATTAAACTGGATGCAGCAGGTTAACATAGATCTTTTGAGATGGCTAGAACCTAAACCCAGTGACAGTGTATGAACTGCTCTTAAAACTGGGTCATTAGCAAGTAAATTAACTGAAGACCATTAGCAGTGAACCATTAGCAGTGAACAAATATCCAGCTTGAGTATTAGCAGAAACCATATAATATATCTATTAAAAAGGTGTGGTTGAGGTTTAACTTTCTCGTAAACATTAACCAAATATTGACAGGGATTATTTATTATATATTTGAGCTTGTGTGCATAATTTGGACTCTTTGTGAATTGATAAAAAATCATAACTAAGTTAAACTTAGGCTCTTAATGCTTGGGAAAAAAGAGGTTTAAGTGCATCATTAATATCTCAAATAAATGACAGTAGTGACAGCCCTGAAGATGACATGTTAACTTCTGACTAAAACTGTATGGCTTCATATTGTGAGGGCAGGATCTGAAAAGTTGAATTTGTCTGCAGGGATTGACTGGGCCCCAGACAGTAACCGCATTGTCACTTGTGGCGCTGACCGTAATGCTTATGTGTGGACCATGAAAGAGGGAACATGGAAGCCCACCTTGGTCATCCTGAGGATCAACCGAGCCGCTCGCTGTGTGAAGTGGTCACCAAAGGAGAACAAGTTTGCTGTAGGCAGCGGCTCACGGCTCATCTCCATCTGCTACTTTGAGCAGGAAAACGACTGGTGAGGTTACCTGAAATGTACATCCGCTCATCTAAATAACAGACGCTGATAGAATATAGAATTAAGAGTTTCTACATATAGGTGGGTGTGCAAGCACATCAAGAAGCCGATCCGTTCTACAATCCTGAGTTTGGACTGGCATCCTAATAACGTCCTGTTGGCTGCTGGATCCTGTGACTTCAAATGCAGGTATTTTCCTCTTCTAGTGTTCTCTTGGATCTAGAAACCAAGTTTGAAATTAAATGGTTAAGCTACTAGGAATGTTTGAAATGAAACATTTGTAGAAACTGACTCCAACTTTGATGAAAATGATGATCTCAACTCTTTATAGATGCTTGGAAAATCAGTAGCTGTGAATGATTCTAAAACACAATATTTCAGCAGTGTTTAAATGATCTACATTTTTGTGATAGTCCCTTCTACCTATGTTGTTCAGGAAGCTGGTGTCTCTCTTTGCATGATCATGTCTTTCTAAACAATAATATGATTCAGCGCAAAGCTAGATTCTAATCTCTAGTAAATTAATTTTGATCCTGCTGGCAAAGGGTTCATGCATAGCAGTACATACAGAATCAGGCAATCAATAGGTATGAGGAACGAAGTTTAAATCCTAAAACATCTCTAACCGTAGCATATCATTTGAGCTATGATGTGTTTTTGTGAGACAAAACTTGAATTGGGTCAAATGAATCCCTTTCTATATGTCTTTGCCAAAATTGGAGGTCACTCTAGATGTTAAGAGTGATGCAACTTGTTTACTATGCAGGGTGTTCTCGGCGTACATTAAAGAGGTGGAGGAGAAGCCTGGCCCCACTGCTTGGGGCAGCAAGATGCCATTTGGGGAGGTGCTTTTTGAGTCTGGAGGTTCTGGAGCTGCAGCTCCCACATCAGGAGGAGGTGGCGGCTGGGTGCACAGCGTGTGCTTTTCACATTCTGGAAACCGTTTGGCCTGGACTTCTCACGACTCCACGGTGTCAGTGGCTGAAGGAGGGAAGACCGGCACGTAAGAGAGGGCAGGGCTGCATAATTTGGGCTGTATCATGTGTTGTGGTATTCCATTTCTGATCATGTCTTTCTCAGGGTGACCAGCCTGAGCTCCGAGACTCTTCCTCTCCTGTGTGTTACCTTCATCACTGAGAACAGCCTAATTGCTGCTGTGAGTTTTCAACAAGACGCATACCTATGTTAAGCACAAATAATCTTTTTTTGATGATCCCAGATGTTTAATTCAGTTAAAGGTCTAGTGCTCCATATATATATATCGGTTTCCACACTTTGTGATGTTACAGCCACAAACTTAAAAGTATTTGAAGTTATGGATCTCTGCCCCAGAGTAACCATGGACCTTTTTTCACTGAATAATGCTATCTAGGGCTGCAACTATCGATTATTTTGTAAATTGATTGATCTGTTGATTATTTTTTCAGTTAAATTATTAATAATCAGATAGCCAAAGATTCTTTAAAGACGACTTTTTATGAAATGAAACCAGGTGAAATTCAAATGTTTCCCCTTGAGGGGTTCTGGATAGAGCATATTGACAGAGTTTTTTTTTTTTTATCTTCTAATCTTCAATGCAAAACATTGATATCTTTTTTTTTACAATCTTGTTATAGTTACTGCTCTAGTTAGGCATGTTTTATATTCTCCAGTTAACGATTATTCGATTCCTAAATTAGTTGACAATTATTTCAAAAATCGATTAATCATGACTAATCCATTTAATTGTTCAGCCCTAATGCTATCCTTGCCAGACCTTTCAGTGAAGGTGAGCAGCCAGGTCTCTGTAGCTTTGCAGTTTTGCCACACTTTGCATTTAAAGAGGACAGACTAAACAAAGCTAAGTTAAATATCTGTTTAATACCCCCTTACTTTGCTATTGTATAAGCGTATTCTCATCTTTTTTCCCTGTGCCGGTGGATCCTGTTTACTAATTATGAGACTTTATTGCAGTAGGTTGCTCTAGATTCCCCCAAAGGGTATCAAACTAAATGGGGTTATGCAACAGTAACCCATCACATTTTTTGCTGCATAAAATATTATGAAATATGTAGCTTTTTTCTTTCCAATAAACTTTACTCTTTCTTTGTTATCCTCATATAATCAGAGTACAATACATTTGTGACTGAAACAACAAAATTAAAAACTTAAATCGAGGGGAATATTTTCAAAAAATAATGCACATGCACATTGCTATTTTATTTTACTCATATACATTTTTACTGTATTTAGCATTTTCTACACACTGTATTTTGCAAATTAAGTATTTGGTTATTTTTTCAGTTTTTGACATTGCAAATATGTTACAAGTATATTTTGCATTATACAGAAAACAAACACAATTGCTTAGTTTTTTAAAGATACTGGGTATATGCAATGTAATCAACATTACATTGATCACGTTCCACGCTTTCATATCCCAGATTGGGGGGATGAGCTGCCAGTGTGGTCCTTAGGCAAGACCCTTCACACTAATGACTGTTTGGGGAGGGGTGGCCTAGTGGTTGGGGTATTGCACTTGGAATCCTGAGGTCCTGAGTTCAAGCCCCCCTCCCACGGACTGCTACTCTGGGTCCCTGAGGAAGATCTTCAAACCCCCACAATACCCTGGGTGCTGCACAATGGTGGCCCACTGCTCCTCAAGAAATCATTTTGTTGCTCTCTACTTGTGACAGTGTAATGACAATTTAAAAAAATATCAACATTATAGTAAACAGAAACCAAACATTAAGGAGGATGATTCAAAGAAAACTTCTGGCCTCTGCTTTAAGGAAGGAAAAATAGAAAATGTGTAAAGAATTAGTTATTTTTAGAAACATACTGAATATTTTGACATTCTCTAAGCAAGATTGAGCAAAGACTGTCCAATATTTTTCTTTAGGAGAAAAAAAACAACTAAAATATCAATTTCAAGCAGTTAAAAGAGCTTTTGTACAACTGATGACAGCTTTACATTTTTGTTGTTCTCTTTCCAAATAACCTCTATGTAGAAACAAACTCCATCTGCTCATGTTTTGCTTCAGTAATTAGATTTTCTCTGTGTCTTTCAGGGTCATGACTGTTACCCAGTGCTGTTTGTGTATGAAGGTACCACGTTGACATTTGGTGGCAAGTTGGATGTTCCCAAGCAGGCTGCAGCGAAGGGCATTAGTGCCAGGGAACGTTTTCAGAACCTGGACCGTCGTGCCTCTGAGACCCAGAGCACCGACAAGGACTTAAACACGCTCCACAAGAACAGCATCAGGTCTGGAGGGGACAGGGGGAGAGTTTGGGAAATGAAAACTAAATACAATTTTGCTCTAACTTAACATCTCATTTGCATTGCAATTAGCTCTGATAATGCACCTGTGCAACGATGAGCGTGAATACAGAACACAATATGTGCATACTTACCTTGTGTACAAAACTATCAATTTAAACAGAACAGTTTTTCTGTTAATACATCTAAACAGCAGATTTTTGATTAGGTTCTGACTGGCAAAAATGCTAAAAACACTGTAGTTCCCCTGCCACGCCACTAGAAGCCACTATTGTCTTTGAAACTCTTAACTTTCAGTTTATTATAGTATGTCAGTAACCTGGCAGTAGCCAGATTGATATGTGTAAAACTGAGTTGAGTTCTACAATATTAATCTGGAATGCACGTCGTTCAGTCTGTCCGTGAAAAGGAGGGACATTTATTACAATACTTCGAGCTGATTGGGTGACGTGCCAGCTTAAGAGCTTTGACACGTCCATGAGAGCCACCAACGGAGACACAATGATCGTAATAGGATTTCTCTGCAGCTTCTTGAGTGTTTTCACAACCAGCTGAGTAAGCTGATTTATCAAGGTTCTTCCAAGAAAATCGTGACACCTTTCCCATCTACAGATGCACAAAGTACGTCTCTTTGCCCGTCTTTTAAACGAGTAATTATTGCTATTTTAGCTCAAATAAAGTCAGTCGCCGTATTGACAGGTGAGTCCTCCAGCGCGGCCACGTTTGTAATGCCCCGGCAAGGCCATTCTGACACTGGTGGCATGTCATTGGTCTGACCCGCTGGTTGTTATGAGACGGACTATTTGCAGGAGTCTTTCATTAGAGTTTGTTGTGAGACTTAAAACTCAGATCTCACGACAATCCAGCTTGCAGTGCAAAGTATGTCATGGCTTCCTCCTAGAGGCAAATTCCCTTATACCCTTTATGCTTTGTACCACAGAAGGGAGAATGGGATATCTTTGGAACATTCCTTTGCAGGACTAAATTTCAAATCTTACCTTTTCTCCGAGAAACTATTTTCCACTATGAATCCCATGAACTGTAGAAACACAACCAAAAAAAACATAATGAGCACAGGGTTACAGTTACTCTTATAATCAGCCAGAAAATGAAGGGTTGCTTCAAAGGGTGTTTCCCTTTCAGTTATAAATAAAGAAAAGACAACACATTTCTTATACCAGTGTTTTTTTGCCAGTCATCTAAATTTGAACAGCTCTTTGGTTTAAACTTTTGAATGTGATCACATTATGTCCCATGCTGAAACTTGGACTTTTCTGAACCTCAATTTTAGCCAAATCTCTGTGCTGGAGGGAGGAAGAAACCAGTGCAGCAAGTTCTGCACCACTGGCATGGATGGAGGAATGGGCATCTGGGATGTCAAGGTATCATGCATGCAAGCCTCAGCCATATTATTCAATGCAGTTTATACTCATCTAACATATTTCCATCTTCATCAATATCTTTGCAGAGTCTGGAGTCTGCTATGAAGAATTTGAAGATAGTGTGAGCTGAACTATGCATTTCCCCACCAAAGCGTCGGAGACATGAAGAAATCTGCTTCTGTGTTACAAAAAGCTTTTTGGCAGTATTTTAATCAAGTATTTCTTTATAAATGTAGTGGAAACAATCTGCTCTGTTCAAGCAGCATCTGCAGCTCCTCTGAAGGCTTTTTGCTGGCTCATTTGATTACTGCATAAGAGGGGGCTGACCTCAGATCTACAAATGGTACTTAATGAGTTTAATTAGTATTTTGTAGTCAAGCTCATTATGAGCTGAACGCTTAAAGCAGCTTTTTATGTATTTAACACAGAGAAAGGCTGCAGATTTATATTAAAAGCTTATGCTGGTCATAACATGCATTTAATAAAGCATTGGTCAATACCAATGTGTGTCTCTATTCATTATTTTCCTCCTGATACAGCTGTGTTCAACAGTTTATATGCACCTTCTACAGATGTAATATGTTTTGCTTTATTTCTGTTGTTTGGAAGACTTATGTCACAAGGAACACAAATTAATTGCAAAACCTAAATACATGACTGTGAGTTTTTGGTGTATATTTTCTTAACCATATTTTTCATGACTATACAAAAAGACTGAAATATACAGCAGGTAAATTAAGTATTGAACATTTCTCCATTCTTCATAGTAAACATATTTCTAAATGAACATTTTAACAGGTGTTGGTAACATTACAAGTAATCCATACATAGAGAGAAGTCAAAACAAATAAGCTTGAATTTTAAGACATGTGATAATGTGAAATGACTAAGGGAACATCCACCAAGCTTTCTGATAATTACTTCATCCTTTGTGCAAAAGCCTTTGCTATTAATGGCAGCTTCAAGATACCTTCTGTATGGATAAACTACAGGCATGCATTCCCAGGTGTGATTTTGGCTAATTTTTCCACAAAAACGGTTGTTAAATCTTGAAGGTTCCATTTCTATGAACTCTGATTTTTTATTTCCATCAATTTTTCAACTGGAATCTAGTCAGGCAATTAGCTTGGCCATTAGCGCCTCTATTTGCTTTCTCTTTTTCCCGGTCAGTTAAGTTCCCTTGGCTCTGTTTTTGAGATCATGATCTTGCTGAAATGTCCACCATTGTTTCATCTTCATCATTCTGGAAGATGGTAGTAGATTTTTATCAAGAGAGTCTCAGCAGAAAGAATAACATGACAATAACTCCTTTAGAAATATGCTTACTATGAAAAATGGGGATGTAATCAATATTTTATCAGTGTTGGTGGTCATAAAAAAATTGTCCTAATTAGACGTCTTTTTGTTTGAAAAGGCGAAGTTCTCAGTGATAGTCATAATAGAATATCTGATAGTTTCTCTGAGCCAGCATAAAGAGATTTGCCTGGAAAAACTCAATCTATAAAAAAAATGCAAAAGGTTTAATAAACTGGTGCAGAATCTAGTGCACGTGGAATAAAGAAAAAGTGGATATTTTCACCTTCAGAGCAATTTCAGTGTTTGTAAGACCATCATCGCCAAATTATTGGATTTATTGTAACCAATCGACCTGTGTATGAAATAGAAATCCAATAGTATGATGTGAAACCACCAGGCTCCATTTTGGAGAATTCTGACTATTGTCAGAATTCTTCGAAAAATTCTGAGAAGAAAGTCAGAAATTAATGGCCCTTTTATATTGCAGGTATAGAGGACAATCTTTTAATTCCTGGTGGATCATCTAAATAAGTGGTCCTACTAATTGACAATCGTTCTGGTGATATGTTTACGTCCTACATGCTTGTTTCATTAGCTACCTTTTTGTGCGCATGCGCACTTTTAGGCGTATATGTCTGGTCAGCTACTGTTTCAGGCAATCATTGAAGCTCACCTTTCTCCATGAAGTTCTTTGAAAATGGCAAAAGTTTGTAAGAGAAAAACTGTCTACAAAGTGTACGAGAAGAAAAGAAAGGCCTCAGAAGAAGTAAATATATGTATATATGTGTAGATATATTTGCTGTTACAGCATGCCCAATGTTGCTACCCAACAGCGGTGACCAATAACAAAGATGGCGTGGGCACTGCTCAGTGGAGGAGGAGTTACGTGACCAAAGGAGCAAAAAGCAGTGATCATCTGTCCGAACGGTAAGTTAACTGAGTTTGCTATAAAGGGCACTATATAGTTCTCGCTCTATATAGTGATTGAGGGACTATATAGGCTGAAGGCTGATTTATACTTAGAAACCAGGTCGTCTACATGTGTGTTGCAGTGAACGCAAATAAGCCCCCGCCCCTTTCGCAGACACTCTGTTGTACCTCTCTGAAATTGTAGGTGACCGCAGACAGTGCCCCAGACAGAAGGCCTCTGATTGGTCAAATCTACATCCGCTCTACACTATGCATATTTCCTGTTTGGTGCCTTAGCGGCTTGTTTTGTGTGTATGACCGTCATTGTGGAAAACGACTCGTGAAGATGGACCAGCTAGAAGAGCGAGATGCGCGAGAACGCTGGAACCTTTTTTCCACCTGGATCCCCGCTCTTTTCCCCCCCTTATGTCCCTCCTTTGTCGCACAAACTTGCCCCCATTTCCTCACCACTTCGGCTCTATCTAGACCCACTGCTAGTTCGTGATTATCCCTCTTGTGTTGTGGCGTGGAATAGCACCACGCTTCAATATTGGGCATACCGTAAATAAAAAATATCTGTGACAAGCCAACTGTGACACACTGCTGCGGGGAATATAACCAGCCCTTTAGGGGTTTAGGGTGGACGTTTGGGCACAGTGAGCTTGTATGAGCTATGAGAATAGCAACTTTTAACCAGAGCGTAAACAAGGAGAAATAGGCTAATGCATTGCAAGTCTTTAAAAAAAAAAAAAAAAAAAAAAAAAAAA